TGTATCATACCGTCCGGCACGGCAAAATAAGCAGGAAGCATGTCTTCTCTTACACAAAAGGCCCCATCGCATCAGGGGCGCTCCGTAATATCGAAATTACATAATATATAAGGTGAAAAAACTCCCGTTTTGGCGTCCAACTTGTCTATTTTGACATTCGTAGTTTAAAAAACGCACCAGTTTACTCGCAGCTTTTACGTATGAACGTTTTTGAATGAAAGTACATTAGGACAATTAAGTACTCAACCTACGGCGGTATCAGTGCCCGCAATCAAAATTTGTAGGCAGTTCCTCAAACTGCCCCGTTCCTCAATCTGCCCCACTCTCCCCTACCCAGCACTAAATATTATAGGTATAATAAGTATTGTAGGCTATGACAGGATATTATGAATATTATGGTATTACAGCTATTATTACAGGCTATTACAAGGTACTATACAGGGTGACAGAAGGGAGAAGGTGGGAGAGGCAGCTCGTGGTGTCGTGTGGCCAGGTTGGCCTGTGGCCTGTGTTCAATGACGAACGAACACGAACAGTTCGCTGTTCGTTAGGGTTCGTTCGACTGCGAACATGTTCGCTCATCTCTAGCCTGCAGCACCTTATTCGGTCACGGCTCCTTACAGGAGAAAGGAATCGCGACTGGATCTTGTATAGGCCTACCTTTATCCAACAACATCTTCGAAAAATTAAAAAAACCAAATCTGCTGCAAACATTATCAGAAGAAATCTGGGTAATGCATCAACCTCTATCAAAGATGTTGAAGCGTTAAAGTAGCTGGAATTCTAAAACTGGTTTCGTTTGGTATTCCTTTCTTTTTCGCTCCAACCCGAGAAAGAGTAGGGTGTTAGGGTATTTCACGCAGTTTAAACCGGATCCAAAATAGAACACTAATGCTTCCCGAACTGTTCTCATTGGCTGACGCGGACGAAGTTGTCGGAGTCGCCATTATAGTCCTTGGCGTTGAATAATAATACTGCAAGTAATGACTTATCTTTCAAACTTTACACATTTGTTCTTGGGTCCATTCTGAACGATTTGGCTCGAGCAGGCATCCGCTCCAACCGTGCAGACACCTGCTATAGGCAATTTTAGTTGAACTTTTCAAAATGCTGACTTCACTATTTGCATTGACACGATTTGTATGGTCTAGAGGTGATTTCCCAGAGTGCCCTTGAATAACCTGTTAACTAAATCATGGTCGACCGTACTAAAGCGTTTCAGCGACAAAGCGCTTTAGTCTGGGCTTCAACCCTCCTTCTGCCCCGACCTTTTCAAGGCACCTTTGTGTAAAGAAAATTTACTTGCCGTTATTAACTCCTACACAGAACTTGTCAGCCACGGTTGTGTACATTTGTAGATTGAGCGAAGTATTTTTCTCACAGTCATGGTGATCAAGAAAAGGTAGTGTAGTGTATTTGAGCACGTCGTACTGCATATCGCGGTAACCACCGAAACCTGCAACCTATGACTGTGTTAGTAAGAACACTGGAAAAACTAATGTTACCAAGGTAACGTTTCATCATGTGACCAAGGCTGGTAACGTTTCCTAATGCAATCTTCCCGATGCGAAATTTTTGGGCCATTACAAACTGGTTGCATCACCAAACGTTACCTGGTTTGGTTGCGTCAAGTAACGTTACTTCGGTAACATTAGTTTTTACAGTGAAGGTACACGGGAAAACAAGTCTCGGATTTTTTCGAGAAAAAGTGAAAAGTTTGACCAAAAAAGGACAACGGCACTGAAACCTTACCAAGCCTAGGGTTCCGGACGGAAGTGGTGGCAGCCTTTGTCCCCAGTCCAGGCAAATAGGAAGAACGTTAACGTTAATTGATACGTGGGTCGAAAGGAGTACCAATGCAATGTCGTTCGAGAATAGCTTTAACGGTCCCGTGAAGGAATGAACGTATATCTGTTTGAGCTATACAAACATAACGACAAAGGCAGATGTATCGATTTGTAATCAGAAAATTGTGACAATGAGTCAATAGAGTACTCAACTTAGTTTTAAACATGATCCAAAGAAGAACAGTAATGCTTCCTGAAGTGTTTCCTCCATGCCGCTCATTGGCGGACGCGGACGAAGTTGATGGAATAAGGTGTTACAGGCAATCTCAAACGGAAGTAGAAAAAGAACAAACTCACTGATTTTTCTGTTTCTGGAATGGATGTGATGGGTCGAGCTGATCAGGTGTCTCCACGCCTATACGGTATGGGAAAATGCAAGCTCAGTTCAGTTTTTAGCTCTCCTCCAAATTTGAGAGGTAAGAATCGGGCCAAATAACCATATCAATTTCTCATACTCACCGGACAGAAACAGATAAATCAGTTAGTTTGTCCCTTTTTCACTGCCGTGAAAGATAGCCTGGTACACCCTACTGCTACCAGGTGGGCGACTGAAAGTTACGGGTGCTGTTCTTCGGATCCGGTTTAAGTAAAGCGATTGGGTACAGCCAAAATGAAGAAGAATGCGGGAAACAAGAAAGTGGAAGTCATCATGTGAAAGCATGGTGATTTCCGTTTTTGTTGTTCTCTGTATTCTCTTTTTTAGCTTTACCAGAATGATTTATAAGGTGAAATACCTGTACCAACCTGAACATGCTGCCTTGTGTCTTCAGTAGCATTCCATGCGCTGTACAGACCCCCGACTACAGCAGAAAAATCAGTGACGTTTCGAAGAAATTTGTTGTTTATGTAAAAGCAGTGCGCCGCTTAAAGAAAAACAAACAACCATATTACATAAGATGAACTTAGGCCTAAGCAGATGTGCACCAGGCGCGTCGCAAGGGTAACAGTTTTCCGTGAGGTGTTGCGTAGCCTGTTACGTAAGACGAGGACTGGCGTCGATCTACCTATTTTAGAAAAAACACTATTATATATAATATTATATACACCAAGCGGCTGTTCCAGGCTATCTTTAACGGAAGCGAAGATGAACAAACTTATGTTTGCGTCGAGTGAGTATGAGAAATTAATTTGGTAATTTGGCCCGATTCTTAACTCTCAAATATGAAGGGGAGGTAAAAACTGATCTGACAGTTTCTCTTACCCTCTAGGCCGTGAATGCACGTGATCAGCTCGACCAATCGGATCCATTCCGGAAACAGAAAAAGTCGGTGAGTTTGTTCTTGGGCAATTCCAGAGAGGAGTGTCCGTCAGTGACGGCATTTGTGAGCGACTGAGGGGTGCTACGTACTGTAGCAACACGCCCCTAGAAGCGTCTTGCAAAGACGCGTCTAGTCATGTGCTTCAACAACAAGTAGAACCTCTCAGTCGCTCACAAATGCCGTCAGTGACAGACATTTTTTACATTTTTTCTGGAATTGCCCTCTTTTCCTACCTCTATGTTTAGGATTTGCCTGGAACACCCTATTGGCTCTTTTTAGTTGCTTCTTGTATGAAATAGGTTTATTGTATTGGCTGAGGGATAGCGGAGCTTTTTAGGGTAAGGTGCCCAGTGATGGGCACTGTACGAGTGATGGACACTTTTCTCCATTTGCAGCCAAACTTTTCACAATACGATCTACAAACTAATGTTTTAGTAAGATGCATACCGGGGTATGATGAGCCAAACTACCTCGCTCCGTTCTTTACATTCCAAGAAAAAGGGGTGTCCATCACTGCATCTTTTAAGGTGTCCATCATTGGGCATCTTACCCTACTCCAGTGCTCGAAAAGGATCCCCGGTGGTTGTTTGTAATCGATTTTCGTGATCACGATAACTGGAGCAGGATTTAAGCTCGGTTACGCGAAAATTTTATTGAAAATTAGGGTCAAAAAAAGCTAGAACTAGACGATCTGGCCTAGCCGCTGAAGTTAACGTGGCAACGCCAAATCCCTTACCACTTAGAACCCAAACTGAGGCATTTGGCCTGAATGTGAACCGTATAAATTCTTAACAAGTGAAATTACGTTTACTTTAATGAAACTTGTCCTACGCGGGTGTAAGGCAACTTACGCAGAAAACGTAACACTATTGCTACGATGTCCACGACCGTTCGGTCAGATCGTCTATTCATTTTGACCTCTTTAGTTCAAAAATTGAATAATAATGGGCTCCTTCAATAGGCTATTCCGCTTAATGCGGTAAGTAGAAGACTAGAAGCGCGAAAGACGATGGTGGGGGAGGCGCGGGTCCTGTCAGTCTCAGTCGTGCAGACGGCCAGAGGCCAGAGGTGGCCGAGAAGCCGAGCATTCGCATGCATCACAGCGCTCTCGCGCTCTCCGTGCCAACGAGCAGTGACAGTATTCGATGCGTTTCTTAGGGAAATTTAAAATTTATCTAATCAGAGATATATTCAAATTTTGTGGGACGCTAGGTTGTCGTTTAGGCTGATTTTCAGTCTAAACTTAGAAAATTTGAGTAATGGTCTGAAAACAAGATTCAGAGTGCCGATTCAGAAAAAACATCTCCTGAATTTTCATAATTTTGTTTACAGTGTATTGTGAACTCCGTAACCTTTATTTTTAGGTCTGTCCTTTGTTTAAAAACTTTTAGGTATCAGTAAGGCGTTGTAATGACCTAATGGGGTAGTAAGGGGTTAATTTAGAACTGTAAAATATGAGGTTGGGTATCCGTGGAGCAGTGTCGAGGCGAGAAACATGTTATTTATTGCAATCTTCTAGCGAAACTAAAACGCATAAGTGTAGATACAGAGTTCACGAAACGCAAGCGTGATTTTCACGCAAGCGTGATTTTCACGCAAGCGTGATTTTCACGCAAGCGTGATTTTCACGCAAGGCGTGATTTTTCACGCTTCGTAAGCTTCACAGAGCCAATCAGGAACCGACTTTCATCACGCCTGGCGTAAAAATCACGGCTAGCGTGAAAATCACGCTCGCGTTTTGGGAAATCTGTATCCACGTTAAAATGGGGATGACAGGATGTAAAATATGAGTACACCACACTAATAGAGCAAACAAAAGACCAATTACATTAAAGCTACGGGAGGCAATACTTGAGTTTCATCATTGATTGAACCTGACCACAATATGTTTTTAAACGTTGTACTAGAAGTACGTGATTTGAACTATCACCACTTTGCTCATATCTAGGGTTTTAAAAATACCGGTCTCGTTCAATCGTACGGTAAGTTACCGTAAGTTACGCAAGTTACGCGTATTTATAGGTAATATTGGTAATATTCACCGAAGTTGCCGGTTTTGGAATGATATGCGTTAAAAACTTAAAATGCATGTTTTAACACGTAATAAACATTTCTATTCAGTAGATTAAGTGTGAAATAGTGAAACATTCAAAAGGAAAAGTCATAAAAATTATTGCTTTGAGTAAAAGATCTAAGAATAGAGATCATCCAAGCGTGTCCCGACATTTTTTAGACCGTCAACGTAATTTAATTTTATTTTTTACTTTTAGGGCTTCCCTGGTATGCCTTTGACATGTCTACACCCAATCAGACGAAAACTCCAGATTTGGACTCACAACCCATATGCAAAAACAGACGGGGACAAATTTTGATTAAATGGTGAAATAGAAGTCTAGTTTTTAATCTGATTGTCAAATCAAGAAACCTTTAACCCTTTAATCCCCTTTCATTCTTATCAAGTGAGGATTGTAAATTATGACTTTAACAGCGTGGTGAAAAAAAAACTTTCTGATGACAGGGGGGCGGTATTTCTTGTGCCACTGATCTCGCGCTTATATAAGCAAGATATCTGACCCTAGCATTTACAGTGCTTAATTAACCGCCTCAGTGCAAAAAGAAAGTTGTTTTTGGCATTAAAACCAGAAAAATAACGAATATTTTGCAGATGACCGAAAAACATGTGGCTCGCGCTTGGCTGATCCTCTTTTCTATTTGAAGGGAATTTGCGAATTTTACCGAAAAATACCAGCGTTTTGTGGCTTAGTAAGTTACCGTAACTTACGGTAAAATACGACACGTGACATATCGTATTTGAAGTTAAATAAAACCATTGCGACCAAAAAACCTAACAAATTCGAATAAAAAAATATAGGAACTCCCAAATGGCCCGTTTTCTTAGAATCGCCTGGTGATGTCGCCCGCAGACTAGGGCAAGTAAATAGTGTTGGAAATTTATAAAAAGTCTTAGAGGCCCTCAGCCCCTGAAAATGAGCGCATAGAAATTAATTTCAAAATATTGAAAGGTGTAAAATTCGACCCACATACCTGAAATGAAATAATCTGTTTTAATCAAAGAGCCACCGCAAATTTGCGTCGGGCCTGTTTTTACTTTCATGTCATATACTATGACATTCCAAGGTATTTCAGTAGTATTTGTTGTGTCTTGGCCATTCCTTACAAAGGTCCGGCCCTGGGCTGTACGTAGACCGCACACTGAAAAAAAAATAATTGCGATCAAAGAAGGAGACTTAAAGCAGAAAAAACAGACGAAGTTGGTTGCGAGTCAGTTCGATTTTCACAATTAATTCGCAGGGAATTATTGCGGTCATAACATTTCCAGCCGTAACACTGGATACACAAAAATAGGTCGACCTGCAAGCACACACCTTTAAGGATTGTGGGCTTGACAGTTTGACAAGTCGACTTCTACTACACTGTAAAAATATTAGTCGTCACTTCACAATTTTTTCTCTCCTAAATCGGTTTCACAGATATTTCGTCACAGACCATTTACAAATACTTTATCCCGTGACAAATGCACTGTCACTGGATGTATATTTCGTCAAAGTATTGATAAGTCGTCACGTGATAAAGTAACAATTTTGTGACGGATAATTGGTAAAAAGCTGGGCCCGCTCCCTGCCGAACCGAGTTGCCGGTGGAGCGAAGCGGAGCTGGCAACTTGGTTTGGCCTGCCGGCGGCGTTTGGGACGGGCCTTCGGCCCGTCCCTTCTGAATTTTCATGGTGTAATACATCTTCTGAGTGACGGCTCGCTTTGGACCATCTTTTTGCCAGGTACCTTTTCTGTCTACTTAGTAATCAAAACTCAACAAACGAAGTATTCTTTTCATACGCTAGACATCTTTGGCTGTATGTGCCGCAGTTTGTAGAATACATGCAAGTTATGCCAAATCCCTTCTAAGTTATTGATGTTAGCTTATGAATCAAATAACACACC